GAGTGAATTAGTCTTCTACGATTTGCATACATTTTAAGGATGTCTCTGTTCTTAAAATGTCTCCAAATCGTAGAAGACTAATTCACTCTAGAATATTTGTCTACAGTTATGAGCAGTCACAGTTTTGACAGTTACAGTTTTACAGTTACGACAGTTACAGTTATAACAGTTACACTGTTATGACAGTTACAGTTTTCACAGTTACAGTTAACTGGTAAAAAACTGTAACTGGTGCATACCTATGTTCGCCTAATTCAACAATTTTCGTACTTGCATAATCGACAGGGATTAAATTCCATTGAACATTTGTATCTGGTGCCACACCCGTGTTAATTAAGCTAACAAACAATCTACACAATCAGTCTTGTTTGTTATAGAATCCCGCTTTAGTACACCACGAAATCATACCTAAAAATATAAGCACAGAATTTCTGGAAACAGTTTATTATTGAAGGAGGAAAGAAAAGTATCCGGTCGAAATATTCCCTCATCTAGCCTTAGTTGCTCATGCGATTGTTGCACAATACACTCTCCAACATATTTACTCTGAACATAACCGTTTAACATTTTATTGGTGGCTACATCCAGCGTTGAAACATAATTAAGTGTTTTGATACGTTTCATTGTAGCTAAACGTATGATTGTCAGCGTCCCATTGACATTTACCAATCGGTGATCCTCGTACTTGGCAGCGTAATTGACTATTTCATCACAATGATAAATTGTTCGAATATTTCGACACAAATGTAACCACTGAGCATCTGTTAATCCCAAATGGTGTTGAGACAGATTCCCTTGGATCGGAATAATTCTTTCGATAGAGTAACTTGTGTACAAATCAAACTCTTTCAATAAATCTGTAACATCTGTAAATGATGATTGTATTAAACAATAAATATTGTTTGATTGTGTTTGACATAATAATTCATTTAGAAGATAAATACCAAGAAAACCATCTGCACCAGTCAATAAAATATCATTTCTATCACAAAGATTTTCTTCCACGTCTTTCACTTCTAACATATCCGATGGTAATTCTGAATCTAATTCCATTTTATTTCTAATAATTTATTTTCAATAACTAAAACAGCAGCAATAAGAATGAATAAGTTTGAAACAACTATCGTACTATGCTTACATGTGAAAGAGCTACTGTCATTTAGCACTTGATTTGGTTGAGCAGTTTTTAGAAGATGCGTTTGCTGCTCGATTGTTGAGTGGTTGAATAACATTCCAACATGAAGTTGACGACTGTCAAAACCGAAAGTGATTTATACAACCAGTATAATTTCATTGCGGTTATTGAACTACCACCCAATGTGAAGAAATTGGACGTGATTGATATTTTGTCTTGTGATAACATTCGACACCATACATCGTGTATATATTTTTCTAACGGTGTTTGTGGTTCAACATGATGATCTAGACTACCGGTTTGGCTAAAATCTGGCTTTGGTAAGCAACGACGATCAAGTTTTCCAGTTGAATTAAGTGGCAATCGATCGAGAATGATAAATAATGATGGAACCATGTGGCGAGGTAAGTGCAGTTGACAATAGCTTCGTATTTGCGATAAATCCTTGTCAACAATAGACGACGGTTGTTGAACATAAGCAATTAAATGTTCGTGTTTTTCATTCTCTGTATGTTTGATAACCACACAATCTGATACTTGTTCGGATGACTTTATTATTGTTTGTTCGATTTCACTAGTTTCCACACGTTGCCATCTCAGTTGCACCTGAAAATCTCGAAAATCTCTGTTCAATTGTTTTTTTAAGGAAACCTAGTTGATTATAGGTAATCGACGCTCCTGATGCCGAATATCCATATGAGATGGGCCCATGTGAGATGGGCGGCCACGTTCAAGAAGCGAAAAGTGAACTTTTACAGGCCTACTTTGTAGTAATTTTCTATATGTAGAGCCGCCGTATATGGTAGTTGACAGACAAACAAAAACGAGAAGTAGGATTAAATTGTGATTTGTACCTATCTCCTTTACAGCTGATGGAAACTGTTCAACAGAAGTGATAGAACTACGGTATATAGAAAAGATATTCTGTAAAATGTTGACATAATTATTGTTCAGTCATAATAGTCTGTGTTTAAAAATAATATTCTTCGAATACACCAGCATCTTTTATCGATCCAGCCGACTTCTTTTTTTTGACATTTTAAATCTACACATTTGTTAACCTTTTTTTAATGTTCAGAAAACAAAAACGTCTTTGCTCATAATTGAATAAAATGCGCATACAACCATAAAACAAATTACACAAGTGAGCAGATAAGAAAATGAAGCATAAATGTATAAAACGATCGAAGGCATGGTGTGTCTGCAGAAATAGGCTGATATCGCGATAGAGAACAACAAAGAATACTATGTAGAGTGCTACTTTGAGGCATGTAAAAAATAAAAAGTGCTCTACATGAGTTGTATTTATGAGTTTTTAGTTAGGAGTATAAAGTACAACATCATCTGCTATTGCTATTTTATGATCTTCAGTCATAGTGATGGTCTCATCATCGACTGGTTGACGACGGATGAATTTTCTTATTAAATGAAGCCATACACCGTTATAAATACCCATGCCAATAATTAAGAGTAGAAAACCAACTATTTGCAACGGATAAAATTTTTGCCATCGTAATGCTAAACTAACCATCCAAATAACCAATGTACGACCGCTAAAGTAAGATAAAAGTTTTTTAGATGTTTATTGTACAAATTGATCAATGATGTATACCTGTCGAGTACCATTCGTGTTGTAGAGGATAATTCTTTTGTGATACTTATACCGGCAAAGTTGAAAAATGCGATACTGAATATGTTTCCTGAAAAATAAAAAACTCGTGTATTCCATTTGTTACACCGAGAAAACTGGTCGAAGGATCGAAATAAGAATTGAACAACTTTTTTTTAGAGTACTACTTTGATGTAAGAATAAAAGAAGTATCAATAACGAACATTATTTTAAAAAATCATCATTAGTAAGATCAGCGATCAGCATTGAGACACATACCAACTGTTGCCACGATAATAATTCCATTACTTTTCATCTGACAAAATGCTTCTGGAATATCTTCTAATCGATGGGCCGGTCCTGTATTACTTTTACCAATTTTGATAAAATAAAATGGAATTAATAACAGTCCCAGCGTTCCAAATCCAAATATACCTGTTAAAAAAGGAATTCAAATTAACCTTCGCCCCCCCCCGGAATAGAAGGTCATGGTCCATCGGATCAAACTTTTTAGGATTCCCTTCTATTAGGAGTGGCTTTCTAATCCAACCTTTCAACCAGAATTTTCTAAAAGTTTTCGTAACCTGTAAAAAGCTGAGAATAATGCCTTTTTTCGTTTCACAACAGTTAACTAACTGGTGTTTTAGGGTACTCAACAATTGAGAGCCCGTGTTTTAGACTATCTTTACAACTCCGAAACTTTACAAACCGAAAATAGTCATATTCGTCATACAGACAATTAAGCTATTGAATTTTTCTCTTCGCTGCGCTTCTAACACCTCCTGCTGATCAACATCAATTATGAGGATCAATATACTTGTTGTCTAGTTTCTATCGATTTGAGAGCAATGCGGTTGGTACTGAATGACTGAATCGATTACATTTCTCTATGTTCGCTGTTTAGGATCACTCGATAGAAGGGATAATTAATAAAGAAAAGTCATACTCTATACATCTGTCACAATTGCTTGCTGCAAAAATTCCAAGAGCCAAAACCGAAAGCATGCATAATTTCACTGTTTTAACAGTCAAATGTTGAAAAATTCTCGAAAAATGTGGCGTGGTCGTACGATGGATTGTATAGAATTGTCTCAGAGGTGGCCTTTTGTCCTGGGAAGGAGTTTAAAATGTAGAATCTAAGTTTACATTAGAAACTAGACAAACCTTCCCAACCGACGGCTTGGAGTGGTGGTATGTTGTATTTGGAGATAAATCGTTCTTCATAAACTACTTGAGAAGCAGTGAAAATTTGTGCCACCAGAATTAACAAATCCCCTAAAATAAAGAAAAGTTGACGACTATTCGATTAAAGCAAACAAAAAAATGAATTATTTTTTACCAGCTATTTTATATACCAGCTTAATATCTGATTTATCAAAAAGAATATCTGATACACCTACAACTGTCAAACCGGCAACTACCGTTAGTAACCCAATCCAATTATACAACGTTAACTTCTTTTTAAGAAAAATGATACTAAAATTCGATATAAAGCAGAGTTATTTAAACAAATATTTAAAAAAACAACAATAAAAATAATAAGTTTGAAATTACCTTAATAATGCTGTAAAAATCATCACAGATCCTTAAATGAAAGACGATCAAGTTAATATAAATGAACGAATGTTTGTTTGTCGTTTTACCTCTTAACATTTGAAAACTACTGGCTGTTGTATAATTTAACCCTATGTACGATAAACACGTTGATAACATATCACATATAGATGCCACCCAGAAAATAAGTGGATTAAATGTTTGATCTCCTTCAACTAACGGAGAAACAATCGACAGCATCAATGGAGGAACACCACCTTCAACTGTTTTCAATTGTACAGTACGATATTTTAACGTCGAAAACCATAAGAATTTAAATAACAATAAACATAAAAATTCTCCAAGAAACATGCCTGTTGCCTAAAATACAGTAAATTTTTTATTCTTATATTAAATTGGCTAATATAACAATGTTCACCTGTAAAAATGGATGTTGAAAGGTACCATTTGTTACTTTATCACAAAAAAATGCATTTTGTCTGAAAATATTAAAAAATAAAAATAAAAAAAAACTTTAAAATCTACATTATGTTTTAAATATTCTTTTTTTCTATACCTAACCTATCTGCCCATTTAGTTGAAAGTGTATTTAAAGAGCCAGTTATTAACATTAAAACGGCAAGAAAAATTTGATAGATAGTGAACGCCATCTAAAATGATTAACAATATTCAATAGTTATGTTCTTTTCGTTCACTCAAATAATTTCAGTACACAAATAAACTTATTCTTAAATAAGAGAAATTATTTTTCATGTTTTTCGCTTTTATCTACTCTATTTCTAATTCAAAGTATTATCACATTTATAAACGTTTTTTTTCTCTATTCTCTCGAAGTCAATAGATTCTAGTTAAACGAGTTTTTATTTACCTGTTTGCATACACAACTTTTTCTCATAAAACGACATTATCAAACATTCATTCCTCGTTACATCAAGTTCGACACTTTTAGAATTATATTTTACTTTTGATTTAAATATTATGCATTATAGAGTAAAGCGTCCTCTACAAAACAAGGCTACTCTCAGCTCTCCAAGGCGTTCCGTTGCGGAGATACGAATTTTTTAAAGTTTCTTACTTTACGCTGACAATACCCTATTTTTTAACTTTCGAAACCCTTTTCTCTTCCATTCAATGTTTGATAAACTTTTCAAACAGTCAGTCTTGTAGATAAAAGACTGTAAAGATTTCTTTGCAAAATGAGATGTCTCCCAGTTCTTCACCATGTTTTTTGATACAGTTATGATCGTTTTGCTAGAAGCGTTTGAAAAAGTCACATTTGTGATATAGCGTCCAAAACGATCATAACTCTATATGGTGGAGAGTGGGGAGATATCTCATTTTGCAGAGAAATCTGTACTCTACAAGACTAACTATTTGAAAAGTTTATTAAGCATTGAATGGAAGAGAAAAGGATTTCGATAGTAAAAAAATAGGGTTCTGTCAGCGTGAAGTAAGAAACTTTAAAAATTTGTATCTCCTTAATGGAGCGCCTAGGAGAGCTAAGAGTGGTCTTGTTTTGTAGAGGACGCTTTACTCTATAATGCACAATACTTAAAGAAAAAAGAAAAATTTCTAAAGGTCTAAAAAAGAGGGGTTATTTTTAATTTTCTCTGACGATGTACATTAGGGTGCGATTATATATATAAACCACTGGATAGGACAAGTCTTCCTCCACAGGCTCATACATATATCATTTTGTGGTCAGAAATCATCCTGAAATTTAGTTGCCTTTTATCGGATCGTAAAAAGAGCAAAACAAAGTGTTTTGAAGAATATACTCTTTTTCGAAAAGACTCGAGCGGATCTCTAACGTAATAGTTTGTTAATGACAGTTCTAGTCTGATCAATTAATTTAAATTCATTAATAAAATCCAATGTTTATTATCTAAACGTTTCGATCGTTAGAGCTTGAATTTTTGTATCTTTTAACATTCTCAATCTGCAATCTCGGGAAAAATATTTTGAAAAATTGTGAAGTACGACAAATTATTTAAGAATCAGAAACAGAATTCTGCATCGACTATTTCATCGTTTTCAGTTAAATGTGTGTTTGTGTCATAGACAGTTGCAGCAATTGTCTTTAATAAATCCATTTAGATACGTATATCGAAAGTTTCTTAGTCTCCAGTTTGTATCAGTATTTCAGTGGCTAGAATTCTTTAATGTAAAGAAATATGTCGACAAACTTTGCATCGATTTATAGCAGCGTGGCGCAGTGGAAGCGTGCTGGGCTCATAACTCAGAGGTCGGTAGATCGAAACTACTCGCTGCTATATTTCTTTTTCGACTTTTCTCACAGGTACAGCAACAACCACCACTGCAAAACCAGAGCCTAGCTATACTCATCGGCAATTTTGCTTCAGTAATGCGACAACGTTTGGTTACTGGAGTTTATTTTTCCTATAATGTTCTTTTCTCAAGTGCTATATTCTGCATGTTTTATGTAAACGAGACCAATTCAGTATCTGTTTCTGGCTCTTTCATCAATTATCTAAATATTACAGAATTTCATCGACAAAAAATCTTTTGTGTCAGATTGTTTCAGTCAGGATCAGGTTATTTTTTAAAACGAGAATACAAATCTGCTACCCACATTCTAACGCTTTCTCTGCGTACACACTTTTCAACAAGCTCGAATAAGGCAATTATTAAGACTGATGCAATAACTCATATGACGACGACAAATGAGAAAAAAAGACATTGGTATCGATGCTTAAGCGAAGATGAATAAGTAATTGCGCAATCAGAGGAAAAGTTCCTTTCTTCCTCTTTTTGCCGACTGAGTATATCTAGGGTCTTTTTTTGCAATGTTGGTAGCCACTGTAGCTGTGAGAGAGGTCGAAAAAGAAATATAGCAGCGAGTAGTTTCGATCTACCGACCTCTGAGTTATGAGCCCAGCACGCTTCCACTGCGCCACGCTGCTATAAATCGATGCAAAGTTTGTCGACACATTTCTTTTGCATTAAAGAATGGATACATTGAAATTGTCAGTTCATATGGTTCAACGAGACAGACAATATCGTGCTTTTGTCACGTATATATTGCAGGAAAGCTGAACTGCTAACCCAAACGCGGGCCGGTGTTTGCTTGGAAACTCCTTACTTTTGTCTATTAATAGTACTCACGGCTGTTTACGGCTCGATTTCTCATTTTTCAGCTGAACACTCCTCTGATCATTAAAAGTGAAGCGGCTCATTTTATGACAGACAAAGTTATTGTTATTTACATTATTGTATCGTTTATTAGAGAATTGGATGCTTTTGTGCTTTTAAAAAAAGCGCCTATGAGAAAAGGCAAAAATCAAGTTCTCAGTGTTATATTATTGGATAATTGCAACATGAATATACCAAAACTGGAGATATCTCTTCTAGCACATACACGACGTATATCTTCAAGATATCCTTGTATATATCTATCAATGATAGATATTCTTAGTGGCGTAGCCACAGGTGGGCTGAGGTGGGCTAAGCCCACCCAAAAACTGTTTGAGCCCACCCTCAAGATATTTGCGTTTATCCGGAAACAGTTTTTAGGTGTCTCAAGAAAACTTGTGGTATAAGATATGAAAGATATCACATCACATTGTTTTTTGAAGTATAAAGATTTCGATAAATTCTGTAGCGGCTACTTATTGTTATTTTTAGATACCTGTATCTCATTCTTCGTGCCCTCTCTTATCTCTCATCGTTCCTTATGTTCGGCGTCTTTTCTTGTTCTCGTATCTTCTCTACGTCCTTTAATCACATGTTCTACCCACTATATTTCGTGTCTGTTTTTCATTCTTCTCACACTCTTTTCTCGTATGTTTTTCATAGTCTCTTTTCATATGATATCAGCTACCGTGTCTTTTCTCTTTGCAATATGTCATCCACTAGGTTATTAAGTAGTAGTTGGTACATCTCTATTCGGTTTTTAAATATGTGTTCTTGTAAACTCCCCTCTCGTTCAATCAGTATTTTTCTTTCATTCTGCTTTATTCGTTTCTTCTCACACGTGTCAAATATGTTTGGATTTTGCTACAGGCTAGAGAAAACTCACACCACCGTTTCTGGGTTTCTGAAAAATAGCAGTGCTGAGCCCACTCTGCTAAGAAATCCTAGCTACGCCGCTAGATATTCTCTTTTTCTCTTTTCCCGTGTGAAGAAAGAGGAAAAGTTAGTGCAGCGTTTTTTTCATTCACCATTTTATTCTTTCAACACTTTTTTAAACTTCTTTTCTTCCTCGTTCTTTTACGTCATATATATCGCAATGTTTGCACACGCATATCTTGTGCTAGAAGAGATATCTCCAATTTTGCTAGATGCCTAATGTTTTTTCGGCAGTTCATGTTATTTTCGTTTTATCCAAAATCTTTTACTTATCCTTCTAGTCTGCTAGTCTGGTAACGCACATAATACAATCAGTGTCGCCAAAACCGGATTCAATAAGCCCACGTCTTGCAGAAAGTTTATACCTAATCATTTTGATTACGACATGACTCAACAAAAATGTAAGTACGCCAACTTTGCATTTATTTATAGTTATTGTAGCAATACAGTGTAGAGGACGGATACCATGAATTTCGCCGTCCTACACCTTCGGAGTAGACTGTCGGCAATTGCATTTTCATCGGACTTCGCCCTGTCCAAAGTCAGAATTTCGGCACTTTGCCGAAAGTTCAATTTTGATTGGGAGTAATTTTTAGTCAAAGATAGGACTAAGCAATTACCGAAAGCTTTATTTGAGTCGTAGAACTCACTAATTAGCCATGTTGTCAACCAAGCATAACAAAACTTTCGGCAATTGCCGAAAGTCATACCGTAAGCTGAACTTTCGCCGTAAGTAAGGTCGGAACTTCGACACTTTGCCTAAAGTTTAGTTTTAGTCGAAAGTGATTTTTAATATACAGCATGAAGTGCACGACAGCGAATTTCGCGTTGCCCTAGAAGACTTCTCCTGAAATAACTGTAATGATACAGTAGAAAAAAATGAAAATATGAAGTAGAAAATAAAGTTTAAGATTTTCTTTCAAATTTCCAATAGCATTAATTTATGCTACCTTACTCTTTTAAAGTGCTATTTGTAAAATAAAGACCCGGTGCATAAATTCAAGCAATACCTCACATGATAGAGAATTTCACGGGCTACAAAATAGGCTATCTTGAAGCCTGTTTGTACTCAAGAAATTTACAGTAGGATTCATTTTTAGAGAGAAAGAGGCAATTTGTGGAATATTCAGGGAATATACTATAGATTCCTATGGGAATTTTGTGAAGTTCGCATCTCGTTCAGAAAAATACATACAAAGCTGGAAGACGTCTCATTTTGGTCAGAATTTTACGGGCTACTACCTGGCGAGGGTAAAAAAATGTTCCAAGGAGATCGATCCAAGATGCCGATTTTCGGATAAAACTGAATTTTTTAGGTATAATCTTTATTCTTAAAGGTGGGTCAGTACCTGAATTTTCATAGATACTCATATTCCTTGGGTTGAATAACATCGAAAATTATGAAAAGATTTTATTAGGAGAGATTCCAGATCATTTACGATGTTTTGCTCTAATGACACGCACGTTTCGTCTATTCATCTTACAAAGTGAGCAGTGTTCATCAGATGTTCGTCGTCACATGAAACCACATCTAATGATCAGTGACAGAAACTGATGAGGTCACTTATATGCGTTTCAGTGAATATTTTTTTATACCTTTCATATTTCTCCCTGAAAACGTTTCTAGTCACCTTCAAAATCGAAAAGTTTGGCCATCTCTTCTTTACATGTGGATGTTGACTCGTTGTTCTATCTCACATTTTAGGATATTTTTAATGAACGACCCTCACCAAATATATATAAGATATATAAAAAGAACGGACGGTTTCTGTTACAAAATGGCTTAATATGATTTTCAGTGAAAATGATCGGAAATGCTTCCCTTTTCACTTCCCAACACTTCACACTTTCAAAAATTCCTTCTGATGTCTTTCAAACAAAAATTATTTTTACTTTTGACCACCAGTTTAACAAAAGCCATTTACCTCTTTCCGCATTCTCGTCTGATTTCAAAGTCCTTGAGCAAAGCTCATACATAGTAACATAGAGAATTTTCTGGGCTTCAAAATAACCTATAAATAAGTCTTTCGAAAATATGCCCATATAAGTCAATAGTCGAAATACTTGGCTGATGTCATAATTTCCACCTATCTTAGTGCTTTAAACACACCTTTAGTCATTTTTCTGCTGTAATAAAAAATTATATATATTTCAAAAACATGCCATTGGATAGCTCTTTAAATTCTTTACAAGGTGAGCTGGTCAGAATATCCAGCACATGGGGCCGATATCGAGGAGAAGCGTTTGGGTGTTATCTGTGCAGTACGGCGTGTCATAATCACAAGACCCCCTTTGTTTTTCGTTTTTACAGTAAAAACTGGAATAAATCTGAATACTGTTTTGGATGGCCTGAAACTTTTTCTGTCAGATGAGGTGCGTATCGCCGCTTCGTGAGAAAAGTCGATGATAGGGTTTCTGGCAAACCTGACCGCTAGAAAATCAAGTCCCTGGTTTTTGGTCAGAAAACTCTGCAAACCATATTGCCTGAGATAGCAAAGAATTCTGAGGAAAATAAGACATCTCCAGATTGCCCATAAGGCTTTTTCACACAACTGCAGTAGGTTTACGAATGGCTACAACGGGCGTGAAAAATACCAAACCATTCCTGTGAAAAAGTTCTTCCCTTTTCTGGAAGAACTTTTTCCCGACAATGGACGAACCAGTCGTTAATTCTGTAGAAATTATAAATAATACTACCACTAATCAGACCAAAACATATAGATATAATTATACGAGCTATAGTTTACGCGAACAAAAGAGGAAAAATATAACAATATCATACGGCCTGACTTAATCTGTCCTTCTATGTCGAGAGAGAGAAAATAACCTTTGTGTCTGTAAGTATTCTGAAGATGTATTTTTAGTTTATTTTATTTCGCTTGTTATTCTTCGATGTTCGTACGAATAAGTATGCCTTGTGAGAGAGAAAGATTAATAGATGTTGTTAAAGAAAAGAAAATGAAAAACAAACTATAAATAGGCGTGCAATAATATAAAGTTTAAGCAGTCACTCTACATTTTAAATCTGCACAAGTTATATGAAATAGAATTTTAACTATATTTTATTACGTACACTGAAGAAGACCTCAATTAAAAGAGGTCGAAACGTTTGTTGTTTTATTAAATTTAAATTTAAAATTAAAATAAAACTAAAATACGGAACTAAAGTATCTAACTTTAACCCTATTAGACATAAAATTGTCAAGTTTTTCTTTTCCTGTAACGTTTTTGAATGTTTTGTTTATCAGTGAGCTGCAATTTTGCTTTTTCTGGTTATTTCGATATGTGCAACAGATGTAAATGGTTGACTGAAGATCCGATCGACGAAAGTCAAAGTAAAGCGATTTTCAGTCATTGAGGCTATTTATGCTGGTTTTTAGGATTATTATTTTATGGTGGACAAAACTTTAAAGGATCTATTCGATGGATGACATAATGAACATATGCAATTAAGTAAAACAGTTCTAAATTGTTCTTGACTTATAATTATGAGAGACTCGAATACAAACGAACTTTTTTTGCTAATTAAATAGTCCTAAAGTTTTGTTCATATTAAACCTTATTTTGATACTTTCTTAACTTAATACTTGAACTGGTACCATTTTCACAATGTTGTTTAGATTCCACTTTTGCACTCGGTATTTTCTCTTTTGTCCAGATTTAGGTAAGGAGATTTTCTGTGATATAGGCTGTATATTTCTGAAATTAGGGTGGCAAAAAGACTATCATTTTTGTTTACTTTCATATTCGATTAGAAATGCATCCCATTCGACTTTATTCTGATGCATTCTTTCCGCAAACTTTAAATAACGCTGTATCTCTTTGTCGTTTGGATTATAGTTTCCAAAAAAGTATTTTGCAAGCTCTAGTCGTCGTTTAATCATCGCTTTGGGATTGTCTAACTTCGCTCGCCGTTGCATTTGTTTTTCTGTTTTTCTGTCATTTCCAATATAACCGGGATGTTGTCCGTTTCGATCAGCATGAGTCATGGAGGTGTTAAATGACCAGTTTCGAGTAATTAAAGCCTGAAAATAAGCATTCGCTTCCGCTTGTGTAATTGTCTTATCGTCAAGATAAGCAGGGGTACTATAGTAAGGCCCAGCAGGATTATGATATATGCCGCATTCAAATCTTTTATAGTTTCGAGTAATTAAAGCCTGAAAATTAGCGTTCGCTTCCGCTTGTGTAATTGGCGTATCGCCAAGATAAGCAGGGGTACTATAGTATGGTCCAGCAGGATTATGATATATGCCGCATTCAAATCTTTTATAGTTTTTCAACCATGATCGAAGATATACGGTCGGTTTTTCCGCCACATCGGTTGGTAGCTCGAACGGAGCATCATTCCCATCACTAGTTTCGCTCTTCGGTAGCAAATTACTTATTGTTACTTGGGGATATTTCTTAAGCCAACGTCTGATAGGTAATAATTCATCGATAAGATCTAAGTCTATTTCCATAGTCTCTTCATCAAAATCATCACCTTTGTACTCTTTGATAACTTCCATTTCTATTATTTGTAATACACTTTTCATTTCAGCCGCTAAAACAGCATCACGTTCTATTTGAGCTTGACATTTTTGCTTATAAATTACATCTCTCTCGTGCTTTTCTTTTACACTGACAGGTGCTCGTTCTGGTAACTTCATCGGCGGCCCTCGCTTTGTATGCTGAAGCTATGTTAAAGAAAAAGTAAATTAAACGGCTAGTTATTAATGTTGTTTTTCACAACTAACAAATACTTCACAAGATTTTAAATGGCAAAGGGACTTCTTTTATTGTTTTGTAGGATGTTATAAATACACTTTTCCTCGGGAGAGCTGGATCCGAAAAAAAATAAAGTATAAGACAGCTCAACTCTGTACTATTGATGATCTAGCTGAGACTTATTTGAATAAAGTTTGTAGAATCACAAACGAAAGATTTATGTACGTACTATGTCTGGAACCAATTTGTCAAACTGGATATTGAAATTATGTTCACTACCTGCAAATTTATAATATAATTTTCCAGCAATAATAAAGCTAAGCCATCCAGTTGTCTTATAATTTGATACCATTATTGGAATTATTGCTTTACGTTTACGGCTGTATACCGTGCTTCTTTCTGACAATTACTACTATTAAAGTAATCCTCGCTAATACATATAAGAACACAATCGGAGGTATCAATCGCATCCGCCATTGCCGAATATAAATCTCCGCTCATTTTATCTCTATCAATCCAAACGTGAAATCCCAAATCGATTAAACGATCGGCTAAATGATGACAAATTTTCCGGTTGGCATGACAATAACTTATCATTACGTTGTAATGATCTAGTGATGTTACATTATTTATCAATTCATTCTTTCCAATCTTTTGCTGAGTACTAGGCGAATGATTCTGAGATTTTTGGGAAGATATAAGATCTGACTGCAATTGTTTATTATTTAAGCTTTTTAATGTCGTTGTTGTTGAAGCAACCACAACCATACGACTTCGATTTAGACAGTTTCCCATAATAGGATGTGTTACTGAAACTACTTGACGAGGCAGTCAGTAATGATATAACAAACCACAAATTAGTAATACATTTTATCAGACATGCGTGTATATACCTGATGAAGCTTGATAACAAAAAAATGATATTTTACTTCTTGATTCTATTTACCTGCGAAAAAAAATAAAAGACTTTTATTACAACTGTTTCGTTCTTTTTCAAACAACATTACATACTAAAAAGAAATGCGTCGTAAAATAAGATAACATAAGTCAATGAATGCATCTAGGAAACTATCCATCAACTGACTTATGGAATCTTATACTAAGACTGATAAATTTATCCATATATTGATAGTTTCGCTTTCGCAGAGAATTTACAAAAGAACGGCAGCTATCAAGTTTGCTGCAAAATATAATCCATACTCCACGGTGGGGAGTTTTTCATAGAGCAGGCGGACATCTGGTTTTATGAGCTAAAAAATGATTATTTTCGCATAATATTGTCTTGTTATGTGTCAAATTTTAATAAAAGTAAGAAAACTCAAATTCGAAAAAAAATTATTTTTCTATGAAAATCTCTCAGGGGAACCCGTGCCCTGAATTTTTGTCGAATAATTTTTTATTTGTAAAACTACTAAGTGATAAAGTAACGAAACTATCCACAGCCCAGTTAAATTTCTTTGAGACGCGCAAATTTTGTGTTCATAACCTTTTAAATAGTGTAAGGTTATCACAGTGTCCGTGACATATGCCATGAGTAGTAGCTGAAGTACGATAGAATATTTGATCACGAAGAGTAAACACACAATAGTAAGGATTGAATTTTGGAATTATTTTTCTTTTCTTTGAGCGATTACAAGCACAAAGATCACCCAGATCTGAAGATATGTGTCATTTAGTCAAAATGAAAACTTCGATGAGCCTTCATTGTTAGTCTAAAGAAAACAATTTTTTTCAAATGTTGTGTATTCTTTATAAGCTTTGATGGAATGCAACACGTACAGGTCGGCTAGCTGAAAGACACAAGTACTAGAAGTTTTAGCGGATTTGTGAGAGAAAAGATCCACGTCTCAAACAGAAATTTGTACGTAGATACATGGCTACTTTTCTTATCTATCATTTAAATGACTGACTTTCCGCTATAAAAGCACATAAACAAACTGCCTGCCGTTACACAAAATGTCAACATTGCGCAACGTTGATAAAGGGTTTTGATGCGCTTTAGATGTCAAAAATCCTCGAATGTAACCAGTTTTAGCAATTATGCATTAAAACCATTACGTTCTTTTGACTTGCAGCAATATATTTGATCGAATTCAAAAAGAATCTGATCAAATCTGGACGCTTCAACGTTTTGCGTTAGTTTCCGAATACTCAACACGTCCGTCATGGTCTACGCCATTCCTATTCTTTTCACATGCCCCGCAAATGTTATTATGCCTGTCAATGCTTTGTATTAAATCACGATGGTTAAAACAGAAACATCGAAGTCATATATATTGAAATCCATTCAGTAAGCGGTTTAGTTTTATGATATATTTTTGTTTTATAATTGATTCTCTTCTCTCTCTCTCTCACGTACACTAAACAGAAATTGAAATTGATGGCAAAATATCGGCCCGTGTTGAAACTGTGGAGGATATAGCTGGTGATGAGGTATATCATCTTCACCGGAAAAAAAATGAATAAATAGCATTTAATCAAGATCTCGATGTAAATAGTATGTACGTATCTATTCGACGTGTATTGAGGTAGTATACTGACTCTCACTTTACGTGTTCTAGACGTCCTTCTCAGTACAGAAAACGTACAAGTGGCATAACGACTATCTCATCGGATGATTAGACAAGATACGAATGTCTGTGTGTAACATATGTATTTAAAGTGTTATTTTAATATTCTACCACGACGTCTTTAACAAAACCGACTTTTATTGACCTTCTTACGCATAATCAGCCAAGTGATTCGGAAATAAACCCGGCAATAATACCTAAATCTTCGTGAAAACTTGGATTTATGAGTAAAAGATGATGATGAATCTGATGAAAACCTTTTCAGGATCTCTAGAGTTCTTATAAGTGGTTTTATGGACAACCGAGTTTCAGGAAATCTTTTAAAAACCAGCTTTTTGGAAATGATCTAAACTGATACAAAACTGAATGTTGAACGTAATAAGACCTTTCTGTGTATTTGGCCAGGTTTGTTCTAGACTTGTAGAGCTTTCAATAGCAAACTTGAAGATTTTATCGGATTTTATCGGAAAAAATGAAAACTACTGTCTCTTCTCGATGATAAGAAGATAAACCTTCTATGCGACGATTTATGTTCTATGACCCTTACTCTCTCAAGTATGAGCAAAAACAGATGGAGCTTGCATTCAGATAAGTGAAGGGCTTAAAAAAATTATGAAAATCGAAAAGAATATTAATCTCTAACCCGTAAACACACAAAAACCATCCATCTCTGTCTCAGCTACAGAAAAGAAGTTCCTAAGCACTTTAGTAAGACAAATTTTTAGCGGAAAGAGTATTTTCTGTATGAGGAAGTTCAGTTTCTTCTATTAGATGATAAGATGGTTTCATCTTCTCATATACATGCATATATTATGGCTCTAATTGGAAAGCTCACAGTCTCTTCGCTTTGTATGAAGATGATAATTTTTTTTTTGTCTATCTCTAACTATGGCACGGCATTTAGGATATTTGTGTCATTTGATCTACGTGTGAGACTCTCACCGTAATAGATCTTCTCATAAACGCAGATGTGAACACGTTTTACGCGTTCGAAACACATTCAAACGCGTAATGAATGAGCAAAGCGTTTTAACCGTACATAATGGCTCTACACTATGATGGAGAACAAACTATTGGTTAATCATGACCACCATAGATATCGAATATTCGAATGAAAGAGAAAGGAAATTAATCAGCTGTAATAATAATAAGTCTCAAGTTAAATAATTTTAAAGAATAATTAGGAAATAAAGTAGTAGAAACTCTCATAAATTAGAACATTGCTAGATGTTACTGCACGCTGCAATAAGAATAGCTAAAACGGATCCGTAATGCACTGATGACAAAAATACAGCTATTGAACAAAGTTATTTGCAAAATATATATATAGGATGGCTATTCCTTTCGGTCAATGAAAAAATTGAACAGTTGCGATTTCTTTTCTTTTGCCGGTATTTTATTATTTTTATTTTTCGTAGGTTTTTTTTCCTTGTTATTGTTGTTAATGTGACGAAGACAAATAATAGAGACATAGACAAATGGAAAATACGTCGACCTGCATGACACAAGTTAATAGCAATCTAAACAAACCATGAAAACCCTGTTCTTCGGCGCAAAAGTTTTCCACAGACCTTTTAGAAACTTAATCTAAGTTTAGACTTGAATGTAGATTAAGACTGATCTAAATTTCCTTTGTGACAGGATGTATTTTTAATGACGGACCCCACCTGTCTGGATATTCTGACCAGGTCACTTTTTACAGAATTTCAAGGGCTATCCAATGGTATGTTTTCAAACCATACATAATTTTCATTGTGGCAGAAAAAAGACTAACGCAGTGTTTAAAGCACTAAGATAGGTGAAAATCATTATATCGGCCAAGTATTTTAACTATTGACCAATGTGGACATATTTGTGACGACTTATTTATAGCTCATTTTGAAGCCCGTGAAATTCTCTATCGAATGCTATATAAAGTAGGCTGGTTAACTGGAAAATTGGTCATGATGATAGACATGAACCACATTGACCTATCGGTTTGCCGAGATGCTGCCCAGTATTTCAGATCTTTGACTATCCATTTACATTTTCTTAAGACTCGCTTATATATTATTTTATAGCCCGTGAAATTTCCTATGAGGCGGTGTATAATAGGTTGTGTTCACTCTAGGTGAAAGAAGTGGAATAATGAAAATACTTTAAGTAAAGGTCATTTAACAAGGAAAGGTTTGTTTTTGCTAAAAGGTTTCGAAGGACGCTGAAAAGGATTTTTACAGTCTAAAAATATGTTGGGGTTAATCGTGAACAAAAACTGCATCAGATGAGATAACTTAAACCTGATTTGGAAGGGGGACCGATTTGCGGTCTTATCGTTCCCCGTCCTTTGGAAGCTGAAGTAGTATTAATAATCATAAGGTATAATGATAAAATATATCTGTCAAAAACTGATTTATCTAAGAAATAGAAGGGACAGTTTGCTCAAGTAGCCAGCAGCTAGTGTCTGATGGAATAGAATCACTTTGAAAGTATAGACTCTATACTTTCATCGAAATCGAGATAATTTGCCTGATTTGCTATGTACTGATACTTCAATTGAAAAAGCAATGTTTTGAATGAAGATTTACAACGCGTTTACGAGTGGTGCTTGTATTGGCAGATAGATCTGAATGTTAAGAAATGTGAAGCGATGACTTTTAGTAAGCGAGTATTGGATACATCTTATTTACCGCTTATAATAAACGGAACTGCTCTGTTTGACGTTTTAAGTCATAAATACTTAGGTCTTTTTTTAACGCCTCAATGAAATTGGAAAAAAACACATTGATTACGTAATTGCAAGATGTAACAAAATTTTTTATTTAATGTATCAGTATAAGAACAAATTTCAAACTACCGTTTTAGATCAAATTTATAAGTGTTATGCGTATCCCATATTACTTTACGCTTCAATCCTTTATTCATCTACTACTGCTATACCATCAAATGCGATGCAACTTCTCGTCATTAAATAACGATCTCTACATCAAAGGATTAGTGCCTGACAAAAATTGTTTATCTGGCGAGGAAGAAACAGTAAAACATTATTTACTACACTGTTCTCTCTATGAAGTACAGCGAGCTGCACTTTTTAAATCTATAAATGATTCGATATCAAATCCAGATGACTCATTAAAAAGTCTATTATTGTTAACTAACAGAATTCCTGAAGATAATTACTGTGTTATCTATCGGTTAGTTGTTAAATACAAAATATATCCGAAATTAAATTTAGCACATTTTACCGGC